TTTGAATTAAATATCGTTTAATTTCAATTATCGTCTTTAATTAATTATCATTTAATTAATTTTCAATAAGACATATTAACATAAAAAAATCATGTAAATTCTATTATCATTATATAAACATCTAGTATTCGTTGTGATTTAATCAAGTCAATCGATAAAATCTTATAATTTATTTAATATATATATGCCGCGTTGGTGTGTTATGTAACGTTCTTTAAAAATTATTTAATAATTAGCAGCTTTAATCTTCAAATTTTTTAATCTGTTTTTCAGCAAATATATGGATTAGCATACATATACACGCATATATATGCACGAAGCCATAAACACACCTAAGCTTCGAATTGCGAGACAGTGAAAATGCGAAAGTTCGGTAGCCAGAACGTCCAGAATATTCTCGTACGTACGGTGCGATTTAATAAACAGCATGTGAAATCTTCCATTAGATAGAGTCGCTCTAGCTTGTGCAATTAGCGCCAGCCGTAAATTAGATATCGGCTTCCGGTCAAGCGCCGCGCCAAGAATACGATGTGCGCCACATCTGTAGCGTATAGGCAAGCGCGAATTCAATTTATACGTGGGCATTTAATCGTGCGCCGTGTTTGGCCAGTTTAATCGTTTTAACGCCCATCCCCGCTAAATTGGATGTATGCGCAGATTAATTACGTTTGTTCATAATGATGAGATCGCAGGATCGTAAACGTCGCGCCATGAAATTCGGTAGAAAATAACGCTCTGATTAGAAAGATTAATCTGCCGTGCACATATATTATAAATCATTCGTCATTCTACCTTTTATTTAAGGTATTAATATTGGCTGCCGTTGCAAACGTGTTTGAATTTTGTTTTTGATAAATCAATGTGCTACCAACCTTATAAGTTCATCAAGAAATCAACGCTGTACAGACTTAGGTGTAATAATATACACCGAATAAATTCTAAATACTTCGTCTGTTTTTCTAATTTATGCAACTACTTAAATATTTATTCCAAGCTATACTTGAAAAGAAAACATTGTTAACTACGTATAAAGACAATAATGACAACTCTACAAATTTTATATATAGAATTAATGTAGGGTAACCTCTCGGGTAAGATGGAACCATAATTTTTTAAATGCAAAAATACCCGCGTTTATATACATATTTGAATAAACTATTTTAGTTACAATAATTATAAAATAGTTTATCCAATTACATATATTAATTCTACATATAAAACTTGTGCAGTTATCATCTTTACAGTTGCCATCACAGATGCCATGTCTTTTTTGTAAGTTTATATCATATTGTATCAACGTGTAAAGACTTACCCTGATCCTGGGCCCAATTAATAAGCGAAGGAACGCGCGCTTCGAAACTAGAGTAACAGTCCTCGAAACGTGCCGATGAATCCAGACCAACAGTCTCGTAATTAGCTTTAACTCCGCAGAGCAGTGCCGTCGCGCATGCCGACGATTCACCAACTTGGGCATCCATGTTGTACGTCTGGAGAAACAAGATAACAGAGATTAATTGCTTATTTTCGCGTCGTCAAAGTACGATTAATACGAATTAGTAATCTACAAATTTTTTACTTCTATAAAGAGAAGAAAATTTATTCTTCGGTCAATTAAATTTTATATATAAAATTAAATTAAGAACGGTCTAGAGGGTCCACTTTATTTCATTTACGGATTCTCCAATCAATTTTCCTTCGTAGATTTCTGCTAACATACGGACCATAGAAATTAAATGAAATAGTTTTATTTCTGTTCATATCTCCATAAAATTTAAATTACGAATATTCTTGAATTTTGATTAGCCACAATCGCAGAAATAATTGAAAAATTTTATAATTAAAAAAGAAAGAGACATTTTATTATTAAAGTACTAAAGTCGGATGAATAATAGTAATAATAATCCAGCTTTGTTATACATACAGTACTTAATCATTTCAGCGAAAAAAAATCTTTTTCATATTAAATTTTCATAACATTTTGATACTATTAACAAGAAAATTCAAAAAATCTATTTAAATTTTTGCAAATTTAAATGCTACCAATTATTCAGAGTACCACAATTTGTTCATACAGTTAATATAACGCGGTCACACATCAAATTCTGTTGAACGTCAGAAGCATCAACGAAGGAATGATAAGTTTCGAGGTAAAGAGAAATTCCGATGTAAGTGGATGTCGCCTTTATACGTCATGACTGGCGATTTTCGTTGGGTAACAGGATATGGGTCGAAGTGTGTCACCGCTGTCTAGGAACCACACGTCGCTTTCAACGCTCCAGGGTAAGCACTGCAACGAGCAAATGGACATTTCCGTCCATCGGCTCACTCGACTCAAACCCGCCCCGAGTTTTGATGAAAACGACAGCTGTGCTCCATTACCATTGACGATTTGCAATTAAAAATTACAAACATTTTATTCTTTGCAGAAATTAATGAAAATGATCACTTAATGCATTCAGCTAATAGCTCAATAAGAATTTTAATTGATATAGAACCACTACGAACAAAATATCGATAATTTTGCACGTTTTAAGATAACTCCATCGTCATCAATTTTTCCTAGAAAATTATATAATGACACATCTTTACCTTAATAAATTAAGTAAAGAAGCGTTAAAACTAGATGTACTTCGCAGTTTAAAGTGGAAAATGTATTTAAAAATTGACATAGAAATGTTATTAGGCATCAAAATTTAGCCTCCATCGTATTTGATGTTTCTTTCCTTAATTAATTTATTTATATAAAACGATCTATAATTTATTATTATTTATACACGTCCGCCTTTCAACAGCTTTACTTTTTTTAGATTTTACTTTTAACGAAAATTACGAGTTGAAGATTATTACTTTCCTTCGCTGTCACGGAGACAGATTACGCGTCGTAATGAACAACCCCTTAAGTCAGGTTTAAGAGGTCGACTAGTACAACACATAAGGTAGTGGTTGGAACAAACTCGTGCACATAAATCCCCACGACAATGTTAAGCCCTTCATCTACAATATCGTGCGAGGTAAGGAATTCGGGCTAAACATAAGAACTACAAGCGAGGGCCATGATACGTTTTTCGGTACACAAACATAGTGAACACGGATCAGGGCTCAGGTGGTACATAGATCGGGCTAAACGTAAACAACATGAGTTTACACTCGACGCGTGATCGACTTTGCTGTTGATTGTAGTACAAACGCCGTCGGGACTTAAATCATAGTACAAGGGATTAAAAGCGGCGTTTTCATGCAAGATATCTGCACTGATATCTGACAGTTATCTTATTATGCCACACGTTTAGATATTCGTTTACTCCATAGAGAACCGCGATTGATTCACTTGAGTGTGCATCCCTATTTCAAGATTCGGCGACTCAGCATCACAACACCGACTAGGAAGTGCCGATTTCCTTCCGCGCAAGAATACCCATAAAGCTCACTCGTGGTAGTCATGATATTGATTATCATACTGAAAGCCATGCATCTTCAAATACCCTTATGAATTGCACGGTCCATCGCTAAGTGGTAGCAACATAGAACGCCCGGAGCACTGAAATACAAGCCGCAATAGCGAGGAGCAGTATGCTGACTAAACATATCACAAACTCCTCCGATATCTTCAGCATGAAATTGCGAGAGAAGGTGATTTGGTTGTTGATATTGGTCAACTAGAATGAAAACCCAAAGTTCCGCTTGCAATTAAATGCACTACATCGCGCGAAGGAAGATAAAAATTATCAGCCTAGACATTTTCCTCCTCCAAACACGGATTAATTATTTAACATGTAGGATTAAATTTCTCAACATGAAAATTGCTTATTCGAGATACTAGATATTAAGAATGATTATCCTTATAAAAAAAAAAATGTAATAATACAGGGAATGCCACATAATATATCATAATTCAGAATTAAAGTAATATAGTGTCATCTCACACAAATATTTACACAATTATCGAAAAAAGTTTAATTCATAATTGCAGATATAAGTCCTAGTACATTTTTTCCTAATTTTAAATAATGTAATAAACTAGAAGAAGAAAGCCAATTACGGTCGAAGCTGGATCACAGTGCTTATTATAAATCGCGACGCTGATAGTTTTTCAACTCGTGATATTCTTCGCAATCTTATTTTTCACAGATTTAGATTTATCATTACTTCAACTTTACATCGTTAAAATTTAATATATGTCTTTCAACATATTATTAAGATCCAATAAGATGCTATAAGCATCAAAAATTATTAGATTGCTTGTCAATTTAACTAAGTGATATTAATGCGATAGTAAGTATGTATGCGTCAAGGCTGAAAAACTATCAGCGTCGCGATTTATGAGGGGGACTACATACGCAGTATATATAATTCACACAATTATAATAAGCACTGTGATCCAGCTTTGACCGTAATTGGCTTTCTTCTTCTAGTTTATTATTGTTTATCAATAATACGGTCCTAAAAAGTTTCTACTATTTTTTTAAATAATGTATTGATTAGAATGATGTGCAATAATTTGGAATAATTTTGTTTCACAATTTAACTTTTCACAATTTTGTTCTATTTATGTAGGCTAATTATTGTATGCATATATATTCATGCTAATTGTAAGTTCAAATGTTGCAATTATTTATTAGTTAAAAATTTTAAAACATCTTCTATAATTAACAACAAAAAACTTTAGAAACTTCGAAGGACTCATGTTCCTTTAGCACCATAAAAAATATGTCTTTCTGTTACGGATTAAGAGAAAGAAAAATTACTTTTTATATCTGCCTACAATACGTTGGATAAAAATTAACATTTCTTATTCGGCATTTACCTAAATGATTCCAATTGTCATCTTGGTAATACTATTCATTGTACATTTCTGATTAGAATTATTCAAATCCAAAGTACGGCCAAGAATGTGTCGTAAAAAATATCCGAAATCAAAGAACATCTGAAATCCGTGCAACGTGCGATGTGCAGCGATATGCAGACATTCGACCGTTCTCAATTGGCTGCACGAAGGTACTATAGATTATCAGGTATTATCGGCGATGCTTTTATCAGGCATTTCCTCGAACGAACACGTCGATAAGATAAATTTGGTGCGCGCGAGACACGTCGTCTTTTGACGTGTAGGTGAGAGCAAACGGCAGTAAATGGATAAACGCAAATCAAGGGATCGTTAGATGCCAACCAGCAGAGGCAACATGCAGGCGGACGACAAGTACACTCCGCAGCAGGAACAGTGGGACATTTCAACGCCGGACAGAGCGCAACGGAGCGTGCCGGACGGATGGTTGTTCAGGAAGGCAAAGTAAGCACCACTTCGTCACGTCGTGACCGATATAAAGCGCAGAGATATGGAGGTACTGCAAATAATCGACATGCGACTGACGCGAATGGTGTGCTTTTCAGCGCTTTCTCGGGCTTTCTCCTCTTTCATTCACTAAATCAGACACAAACGTGTGTCAAATACAAACTTTACAATCTTTTATAAATTTTATCGCAAACAGAAACATATAGTATATGTTACGTTCGAGTGATGCATGGAACAAATAAAATTAATGTAGACAATTTTATTTTCACTTTTATAGCTTTTGTTTCAAATAAAATTCATAAAAAGTGTCCAATGTCATACCAAAAATATATCATTCATTTTATATTTGCTTTACTTTCAACGTTTTAACTCTTTATTTCTAATAAAAGATTTGGGAGATAATTGTTTCTTTATCTGGTTTCCCGCCATAGCACTGATTGTAACGCAAATAAAGAAATAAGACTAAATATGCTCAAATATAATAAAACAAAATTGACGTAAGATGCATTAAAACTGTTTTTTTTTTTTATTATTTGCCTTTGGTTGCTTTTATTTTTCATTTAAATTGCAAATGTTCTTGATTTTTATTTCATCTTTTATTTAAATATATCTGTGTATTCATTACTCACGTGTAACATATGTAACACGTGGCGACATGTAATCAATAATATTAATTTTTCAGCTTCGGATTATTGTTTTTTCAAACAAAAATATTTCTGTTCCGAGACTGCTGCAATATTATTCCACAGAAAATTTCACTCTCATATGATAATTCACCGTTGTTTTCTATAGCTACATCTTGAATCAATTTTAGAACTAAATCGTCTAAAACGACAGACACCCTGATACCAACTGCGATTACGTGGAATCAACTTTATCTCATAAAATGTGCGATCGCGAAGATTATAAAGACGTTATCTTTTCCGATATTTCATTATTTTTGTCTATCAAGGTCCTGATGCACAGGTGGGAGCGTAGTGCTGCGTCGCGCATTATGCGCTTATTCTCGCAGTCGCGCATATAACGCATGGTTGGTGTAATTGTCGGATAGCGAAAAGGACGGGGATTTGCGCGGCCGGCAAGCCACGGCGGGCTAGATTTATATTCATAATAGCGGGGAGTTGGAGGCCGTTAGGCGCAAAATGTTTTAGAGCCCAAAGTAAACGCCGCAGTGTTCGCGGTAATGCCAGTAACTCACTTCTCCCACGACGAACATTTGTCTCGTAATGGCCACTGGCTCACCACGTTTATGACTAGTTCGTAAGCGGCCCGCAGTGGTTTTGTCACATCCGTTCTGTATTCTCCCTCTGCTTCTGATCCTCCCCCCCCCCCTCTCTCTCTCTCTCTCTCTCTCTTTTCCCCCTCTCTCATCCGTTATATATTTTGAATGTTCTTGATGACTACGTGGTTGTGCATACCACATTTCCATATATTCACGAATATATGTCACAAGCATATATAATATCAGCGTATCCATCCGTTGGGTAAGAACCACTCAAGCGATGACTCTTGTGCTGACTCTTTAATTCTACGATTTTTCTATCTACCTCACCGTAATGTTACATTTTTTTTATAAAAAAAAATGCAATTTTTATTACGTGCAAAGTTAATCCGATATTAAATAATAAGTTATAATATAATATCAGATTTTCAGATGCATCCGTACATTACACTCATTAAAAAAGTGTTTAATTTTGAGATTTTAATTCTATTGTTTCACACACATTCTTGTCTCCACTTTTCAAACATGCACACACTTAAAGATGTTTTAAACTATTTCAATAAACACTGTACAGTGTTTGGATTTAAAATACTAAATGTTTAATATTGAAGTATCTTATTATTAAACGTTTATTTTACAAAGTGATGTTTTAAATATAAACATTTTAAGTTATACTGTATTTTCTACTGCGTATATCATAAATATAATAAATGAATTATGACTCTTTTTATGAATATTTCATTGAAAATAATCTAAATTATTTTGTAGTATTTAAAAATGCAGAAATATATATATATATATATTATACATACTATTTCATAAAATAAAAAACAAGAAAAGAAAAACAGAAATGGAAAGAGAAAGATTTCTAAATCCCATTGTTTTTTTAAAAAGAATCGATAAAGTAAAAAATTTCTAGATCCTTAATCTAATAAACTAAAAGCGTTTTGACAAAGTCTGGAATGCTATGTAGAACAAAACACATATTGAAAAAAAATGTCAAGATACCAGTGAAATGGTACAACAAAAATTTTGTATATACATATATAGATGTGTGTATGTAGAATATAATATAAAAAAAGAATACAAAATTTCTTTAGTTTTTGAATAGCGAATTAAGAATATTATAATATTTTATTTATTTGTAATTATTTCCAAAGCGTTTAATAATGTTAAGTTATCGTATATGTATAAAATTATTTCCTTCTTGTTATATATTATAAAACAAGATTTGTTACACATAATCTCATTTGCTTTTATTTTCAATCAACTAGAATTATTGCCTGAATTCATAATTCCGGGAATTAAATATATTGCCTAAATTCATAATATGCTTATTGCAGATTACAGTGCTGCATGTAATATTTGGCCGTGGTTCACCAGAACTTCCACAAGCACGCACCTAACCGCGCGAGGATTAAACGCCTCGAGTTTACGGTCCATTCAGTTCAACGAAGCTCAGACAGTTCTACCTCCGCATCCTCGCGCTATTCTGCGCAATAATACCGCCGATTTACTTTCGGCCGGCGTAGCCGACCCGATCCGGAGCAGTCGTAATCGTGGTAACTCGCGAAAGTTGGATCGCGCGTACGTGCGGGAGCCGCGGAAAGTTGAGGGCAGGCTGCCGCACGATAAAACGCCGTCGAATCGCAGCGGAAGTTCTCGATTGCGATCTAAGTTGAAATTAAATTGACCGCGGTATGATCCCGCCGCGGTACTGCTCGAGTCCCTCAACTAAACAGGATATCCGTCTGCGTAAGCGCACGTGAGTGGAAAGTACGAAGTAGACTGGATGCACTTTTCCGGATAAGGTCCTCCTTTGCCGTCCGCCTCGCCTTGAGAAGAGAAATGCTCCGATATTTCCCCCCTCCCTCCCCCCCTCTCTCTCTCTCTCTCTCTCTCTCTCTTCGCGAAACTAACCGCAAAGAGGCAAAACGTTCCGGAAACGCCCGTTTCCTCCCCTCTTTTTCGCTCGTTGTTCTCTTCTTTTTCCGTTGCCGCGCATCACCCGGACCATCTATTTGCGACTGTCCTCAAGTTGGAATTCTACAACTAACTACCGTCTAATTACACCAACTGCACAAAGAGACGTTGCACTAAATACTACTGACATTTATTCCATCCGCAATGTAGGGTACGTGTCTCTCTCTCTCTCTCTCTCTCTCTCACTCTCTCTCTCTCTCTCTCTCTCTCTCTATTCTCTTTTTATTTATCTCTTTGTGTACAATACACTTATTCCGGTTAATGTAGGCATTTACACAAATTTTTTCGGTTCTTTTAATAGACGAAGATATCAACAAATTTTAAAGAAAATAATACGAAAGTTTTTTTTGTATCTTTTCAAATAAATGCATACCATAATTCGGGGTGTAATTAATCTATTTAAATTGAAATCCTAGCCAACTTTAATAACTCCGATATTTTTTTCTTTGTTTTACATAAAATATTCCGAAATTATCACGCCAGTATTCTTATTCGCGGGATCTTCTATTAACGCCGTGTTAATTTTTGTTTCGCCGAATCGAGCGTTTTAATTTGGAGTACAATGTCAAGAAGAGAAAAGCGTTAATATTAATAAAAATTCTATTATGAAACACGTTTTTCCATGGAAAATAAAATTTAATTAAGATCTAACCAAGATATAAATAACTATCCTGCGTTCCGCTCATTTCATTCTGTGCAGCCCGTCGTGTTATTAATGGCGGAACTACAGAATCATTTGTTTCTCGCACCTCGCGCAGTGTATAGCATTACATTTCTTTATCTATGCTATTTCGTCTGAAACACATCAAAACTCACGAAACATTTCGACCTTTCAACATATTCTAAAATAACGCTGTAGGACGTTATTTGTACATTAATTAACAAAATAGGATTGACTGAAAAGATAAGTTTTAGTTCATCTTCAAAATAACATTACCAACTTTCTATGACAAGATAAGAAAATGTAATATTGTATAGTCATTACGAGAACTTAATTACACAATTTCAAAAAATATCAACCATTCTTGTTGAAGCAAAATAAATTTCCTGTATTATATGTTTCGCATTTAAACCATAAAACAAGATATCATACATTGAAAACAATTTACTCAACAAAAAGAATTACTCAAAAATACCTCAACAAATATTTTTTAAATATTCGTAGACATATATTTACCGTAAATAAATGTTTACTTAATAAAAAAAATGATAGTTAAATTGATGGTTCTTGTATCAAATAAATATATGTTAACATTGAGTAAATATTTATTTACAAATATTCAAAGAAATATTTATTAAGATATAGTAAAATTTTTTTCAGTGTACTAACATATATTAGTTTTAAATAATAATATCCTCTATTGTTATAATTAACTTTCTATTATTATTGAATATTTCTAAATTAATGTGAATAACTATTCACATGTTATAATGATATTTTAAGCAGGGACATGATGGATACCAAAGATGCGCAAACCGATCTCAATCCGTATGACGATGAATACAATATGAAGCATAAAAGAAGAGGAGTTGCGATTATATTAAACCACGTGAACTTCGAGGACATGAGCGTAAGGAAGGGCACCGAAAAGGACACCCTAAGCCTCAAGACATCATTAGGCAAACTCGGGTTCGACGTTCGAATTTACACCGATCCGACGCTGCAAATGATAAACAAGGTTTTATGCTCGGGTAAGTATTGAATTTCCGTAATCCAACTACTCGTCGTATACTTACGTATAATCACTTGTCTCAATGACAGATCAAACAAATAAATGACGAAGCTCTTGTGAGTCCGGATAATGAACGCAAACTTTCGTTTGAAAAAATAGCGGAAACGGAGAAAAGATATCATTATTTCTGTCCATTCGCAATATTGCAAGCTGCCGCAACCACATCGTTAGCTCTGTGTACAATCGTTTCTTATCTTTCTACAATGAGCTCACTTTCGTTTCGCCCCTCATCATGACAAAGCGATAGAGTTTCCTCAAGATAAAGAGAAAATACAAAGTGCCTCAGAGATCCCACCTTACTTTTAATCGCAAACTTTCTAAAGAATTTGAACATAATTATCGTAAAGAGAAAAAGTTCAAGGGAAAACAATTTCATCTACTTTCTTAACGCTTGATTTCTTCGTGATTAAATCACGAAATGGAATTTGCTTTGAAAGTCCATTCGACGTGATACAGTATGGCGACTCGCAATCCATTAGGTGAATAAATCCGATCTCTATTGTTTAATTTTACATATAAGCGGAAATGAAAGATTCCAATGCAGTAAATGAAAACAAATATCAGATACTGATTAAAAATAAATGAAAAATAAAAGATTCCAATGCAGGAATATAAAACAACGATCAGATATTAATTAAATTAATTATAAGGTCGTAGTTGTTTGTCGAGTAACTAGTTCTATATCACCCAAGTAATATCTCATACATTGATAAGCCTCTGCCTGCCTAATGGCATTGCAGTTACAAAAGCGAGGAAGCATTCCAAGTGTATTGATAATTGTCGATGGATTCTTTGTACTCAACCTGCAAACGAACAGATAGATCCCAGTTAACGCGAAGCGGATAATGATGCGCGCCAATCTGAAAGAGATCTTGCGACAAGTTATATAAACATTTTACAATGAAACGAGCTCATTAAACGTCTATTCGTCACAGTGAACTGAGTTCCTCAACAAATAACTAACAAAGCAATCTCGTGAATACGGCTGCGGTAGGTGCCGCGGAAAGTGAAGCTGAAAGTCCGATGATTACGGAACTTCGCGCTGGATAAGAAAAGTTTTCGCGTACCTTCGCCTCAGCGTAACACGATGCGCTCTATGAAGCTATATTCAGTCACCATTCGCTTTAAAATTTTACCTGTCACGGGGGTATGCTTCATGTAATATGCGTGAATTCGGAGGACTCGTTTGTATGAAAAGATAGTTTTGCGAAATACCTAAAAATATTTAACTATAAATACAAATCTAACGATGATTTTATTGGACCATAAAAATAATTATGTAGAACGCTTGAACTAGTTACTATAAAATGTTAAAATGTTTTGCTCATCATTTGAGATTCCTACAAAAATACTTTGATGTTCTCTTAACAAAATTATTTTCCGACCTATATCTATATAGCTAAATTTGTAGATTATTTAGTTTAATTAATTGTAGCTAAATTCAGTAAAATCGTTTTTTCCATGTGTATAAAAAATAAATAATCCGAGGAAATATATAATTAAACATCTACTAAAATAAACAAAAAATTTTGCTATAGATACTAGTTTGACGAGGCTCGACTTTGCTAATCATTTTAATTTTTTTCTTTTTTTATACAATTGGATAATATACTCATGGAAAGAGACCGACTTGGTTTAGTATATAAAAATTTAGCTAAATATAGATCTGAAAATAATTTTAATGGATCATTAAAATAATTACATATACCTATGTAGAAAATTCAAGTTTTGACGAACAGCGCTATAAAAAGTTTTAATATTTTAGCATTCAATTTAAGCATTCTATATAATTATTTTGATGGTGTAAATAGAATTATTTTTACATCTGTATCTAAATAAATTTTTAAATATGTATTTTGGTAAAACCGTTCTTTCCGTACAGAATATTAAAAATTCACGAGCTCTTTGATCGTTAATCCATTCACATTTCAAAATTTTGACTTATCGAAATTAATATAATGCTGATTAATATAATGCTGATTCATTGTGACAAATAATTTTCGACGAGATTTCGTTACTACTGTAACATGAGGAATTTATCATTATTGACCATATGTATCATTTTAATTTTATCATGACGTTCATAATTTATATACTTTGAAGGGGATAATTCATGTATGTAGAATTAATGTATAATATTTATTTAAGTAAAATAGAGTCAAATGTATTTATTGAAAATGACCCGTAAATGTGGAGTTGAAACGCGCGTTTAATTGTTTCTTATATTTAAAAAAAAAACATTTATAGATATTATAATGATATTATACACACAAATATTCAATACTGACTCTTAGATATTTTTACTCCTTGATTTTTATATTCTTTAGAGTATTTTTCACTTTTTTCCATTCTTCTTTGCAGAATGTTGAAAATGTACAATTACAATGTAAATAATTTTAATAATACAAGAAATACCAAAATGATTTTTGCTAACCGAATAAATAGGAACTTATCAAATTGGCGGATCTAATGTGAAATTTCGAAGAGATAATAACGTTGCTGACTGCGACAAATCTGTCAGTTGAGCAGATATGAAGAAAAATAAAAAGAGAAAACTCCAAAACTTGGTCGCACAAAAATATAGCAAATTTTCTTTCGTTACTTCCCTCGGGAGCAACTAAAATAGACTTTTCTCAAACTCAGTTCTTGGCTGATATGAGAGAAACAATGGTAGAGTAAACTAAAGGGAAATCCCATTGGATTCTCTCCCTCGTTGATAGACTTTACACGTATTCGATTATCAAATTGAAAGTATCTTTACTTGGAGTATCGAAAGAGCATTCGTTTACTTTGGAATGCCATAGTCAGCGCATGTTATAACTATCGCATAAATAAATCACCCCTCACCATATTTCACGCGACTACCACCCCGCCCAGTCTCAATGCTTTAATTTTATCTGGCAGCATTCCACGTAATCCGAAGCAAAGCAAGCAGGCTTCCTCCTTCTGAAAGTTTCACGAACGCGAATCGACTACCGAATGAGGACCAAACTTTTCAATTGAAACGATCCGCATGTCGTTGTAGCTCTGGCTTATCTTCTTTTTTCCCCATTGATCAACCAACAATGCGAGTAGTACTCGTTGCATTGCCACTATTTTCCTTCTCTTGTATCAATCATTCTTAATCCCCTATTAAATTGTCACAATAAGATAAAATAATGAGATATTATGATCCAAATGTAGAAAAGATTGTCTAGGTCAGGCGGATGTATACTTGTTGCATATCAGTCCGCGTATTATATCATCTCATCGTCGTTGTGTATCAGTGTAAGCAGAAAAAATGTTGCACCGTTGCACCAAAATTGTAAGGGCATACCGTGTCGTCATATCATTTCATTAAAAGGCTTGCTGCAGTGGACTGACCCACATTTTGTAAAAACAAAATAAATAACGGAAAAAATGATGTTCTTCAAATATCTACATATTTAGCTAGATACAGTTCTAAAAGTAATTTTATTGAACCATCAAAATAATTATGTAGGAATTTCAAGCATGTTATATAGCAACTGGATATATTTATTAAAATCGATACCAAAATATTGTTGTTGAATGAATACTATATCGGTATAAAATTACCAATGTATTCAAATTTTGTCGGTTTTTGAACTGCGTTCAGCAAAAGAACAATGGGTTCGAATACAGTTGATCGAGTGGAAAATAAAGTCGGGTCTGTTGGATAATCAACAAGGAAATCACCGGGCGAAATGAATACGATGCGAACCATTTGTCCGTGTGCTTCTTTTTTCGTTTTCTATAAATTTCGTGACCAAAAACAAGCTAAGTATATTAATACGGCAGATGTCACACCAAAATAAAAGAGACGGCACGTTTCGTCGTCTTTTCGATTTCGCCACACCTAACCGTGTAACCAACAATCGCAAGATATTGCGGTAGGAAACAGGCAAACATTTGTGCGACTCCTGCGAACGGCACGAACGGCTATGCACCGGCACGTAAAGCACTCCCGATGTTTGTCGACATTTCGACGAAAAGCGCGATACCTGTCGCGACATCGTTCCTTGACAGACTCGTCAGGGCAACATCCACTTATACCCAAGTTGCTGCCTCGCGCGGAGAAGAGGGTTGTATACGCGCCCTCGAAGAACAGATACGTTTTCAAAGTTAACGTGTCAAGTACAAGCACCGTGAACATTCTACTTCGGATAAGTAGAAGCTATTTGAGAAGAGCCGGGTGTTGTATCCTCTGCTAATGTCGTCTTCCGCGATACTTCGTTACTGCACGAACAGAGTAGATGGAATTTACTTGTTTCCGTTTGGCAAATTCCTGAAAGTTCCTTGACAAACTCGTTAAAATAGCTATTTTTCGACGTGGCAGTCAATAACTTCGCATTGGTGTATACGTATATATATGCTCGAAATGTACGTTTCTCTCGTGACGACACGTCAAACGCAGATATTTTAAAATGAGGATATTTCACCTTCGGGTAAGAACATATTATGCTCGAAGTTTCCGCGTTAGATACATGTTTCCTCATATTACACACGTTCCCGTAAACGGTAACTTAATCCTGTTCTAACGTAGCATTGTATTTATTCTTGTTCAGTTTATGTTATACATTACTACATCATTTCAATGCTAAGTCACTTATGGCTTTAGATTGTTATGCTTAAACTATTATACATCTGTAGCCTACAAGCTTTGTAGGATCGTAAACTACTTGTACTTTAGTGAGTACTGTACGATCCTAAATCACTTCAAACTTCAGTCAGAATCGTTAGATCTTTAACTTTTACGTCCAACAAGTATATTACACATTTCAACTTTTGAACGTATTGCGGAATTACAATTATTACATTCCAGAGAGTTTGAAAGGAGATTAACCCTTTGGCTACGACTAAGTCAGACTGGAGCTGTACCATTCGACCGCAGAATTCGATTAAAGAAAGCGAATGTTCTTTTAATGAAACAAATCGCTGCATTGATAGAAAAGTGATACA